TTGGTTCGTATATTCACAGGTCGTGCTTATCTTTTCAAACGAGTAGTTAACCTGACCTTTAGCAGTGTGCAAGAGAGGGTTATGCTTACAGGTAGGCATATGGTAAGAGATGTAATGTGCAAAAGTTGTGATGCCAAATTGGGTTGGATGTATGAATACGCCACCGAAGATGCACAAAAGTAAGCCAAAACCAAAAAATTAATTTAATGATAATAAAGTGCCTCAACATAACAGATTAAATTTTCATTGCAGATACAAGGAAGGGCGTGTGATTCTAGAGTACGCACTAATTAACGAGACAGAGGGTTTTCAGGGTGAAAGCGGTACAGTTCATTAAACTAAATTAATTTGTGTAGAATTTTCATTAATTTATCACAACATGTTAAATCCGAGAACACTGAAAACTCGACAGACCCTAATAGAATTATTTGCATTCTTAGTTATTAGTCTTCTTCGTTAGTATTCAACAATTACCAAAAGTTGCATTTGCATTAAGTTAGTAATTTAATTGTCACTTGGCTACACTACGTTAAAAATCGCAATATCTATTTTTTATTCTAAGGACGTAAATGCGTATCAAAAATTGCTTATGGAATGTTTCACCGATAGTAAAATCGAGTAACTTTTCGTCTGCGTCCTTGCATCATCATAATATATAAGAAATATTTAACCATTCATCTACATACATATGTATCTACTACGCATTTTAAGTTTTTGAATAGTAATTTAAATCATTTATCAATTTTACGAAAATATATCAAAATAAAAATGCCAAATAAGCAGTTTAAAAAGCATATGCCCTCTTATCAGGGCAGTGAACTTCGGCGTACGACTCAACAACCAAGTTTTTTTTTATTAAATACATGTTTGGATAAAAGGCTAGAGTGAACGAGATGGTATATGAATCGTTCATCTTTTAGAACTATAAAGAAGTACTGATAGTTGAAGCAACTGAAGGTAGTGCTTCCAATGATTTTTACCGGCGTATTAATTGATGCAAAATGATATTTTTATTTTTTTCATTTTATCCTAACTCTGAGCTGAAAAGAGGAAATATAAAATTGAGCATCATTCTGCATATATCGAGCGCTAAGGCCCTGTCTCCACAGGAAAACACTGATCGTAAAATTTTTTTATTTATTTAATTTTTTGTAGTAGGTAGTAACGTGAGGAAACTCGAAACATGGTGACGAGTCCCACTTTTAGCAAACACTAGTGGTATCCCCTAAATTGAGCAAGTGGTCTGGCACCCTGTTGCAACAACTGTTGTTTGAGCTAATCTGCTATTTTGCCAGCGTCTGGGCACTTGCTCAATTTGGTGTATACCTATAAAGTCGGTGAATTTATATACTTTTAAATGTGGGCGGAAATGCATTCGAACGTACATGGTTTAATATGTCAGTGTTCATCTGTGCTTATTATCGATCAAAAGGTGCATGTTGGAATGCGTTAAAGTTTCCCAGTCTTTTGCGCCATCGCTATTGCGTT